CAGAACAGAACAGAACAGAACAGAACAGAACAGAACAGAACAGAACAGAACAGAACAGAACAGAACAATGTAGATTGGTTGCATGCACTCCACAATTAAAATGATTAGGTAAGTAAATGCAAATTCTGTGGATGCTATATGAATTATCTTACCTATGTGAGTTGTGCACACTGAACAGATGCGTGAATATGCTTAACTTCTCCTAATTTATCCAGTCTTTTGAGAGCCATGGGGAAGAGGAAAGAGCCGTCCGTGGTGCTGACAGCTTTATTCTGACAACTGGACATTCTGCTCAGTCTCATCTAATTGTAAGATTTGTGCCAGCGCTGCATGTTTGTATTTCAGCGTGTTTTTGCTCTCTTATGCTTTAGGCATTTTTGCCTGCAATGTATCTGAACTGAACTCTGTATTCAGTTCAACATTCTATATTTGTAGAGTGTGCAGACCAACTCTTGAAGAAAATAGAAAGATTCCTATGCTGTAAGTTATATAAGTTAAACAGTTTCAGGAGGTTTTCCTTCAATACTTATCATCACAAATGATCTATCTAGTCTCCTCTGCACTAAATATTGTTTTCCTAAGAGAGCATATTATCTGCTTTAAATTCAACTAAACTAATTCTTTCTATAAAAGTTGTACAATTAGCAAAGGGCTAGCCTGATCCATGATTTACTTGACATAAATCCATGGAAATAAAGGGAAAATGACATTTATTTCACTGTAATTTCTTCTAGCTCCAGGCATTTGCTACAGATTTCATCCTCTATATCTACCATATGAATACATTTTAAAAATAAACTATATACATTATGATTTTGTTTATTTTTATGTATAACTTTATTGTTGGGCCCAACAGAGAGAACACTTTTCATTTTACTTATAGTCTGCTGGAACCTATATCTCAATTCAGTGGAAAATGCTTTCAGTGTGACCCAGCGGTGCTTCTGATGTATTTAAAATCGGACTATTTGCAAGATAATTAATACCAAAATGCAGTGATTTTACTATGCAAACTCACTTGTTGCCCCGTGACTAGAAGGATGGAGCCTTCTTTCCCATGTACCACTTGCCGATAAATATGATCTAGAATTAAGAGTTCACTCCAGCAGTTCTGAAGGAGCTTCATTTGGTCATCAACCTATGTATCAAAACAAACAAACAAGCAGAAAGATACCTTGGGGTTATTGTTGTTGTTCTCTTTTGATTTTTTTTTTTAAATCATGCAATTCAGCCACCATTTAAACATGATCAAAAACACATTGGGAGGTACTTTCTCAAAAATTCTTTCATGCTGCTGTTGTAATATCTTGCAACTGAATTAATGAGTTTTACTGCAACTGTCCATTCGGCAAAAGCATTTCCCTTCTAGAAAAGGGTACTCATGTTACTGTAAGTCTTTAAAGCTGAAATCATTTTCCCAGTTGGGATAAGTCCTATTGAACTTAATAGGTCTTTTTTTTCTGAGTAGATACAATTGCAGCATCATGAGATAAATGGATATTAAGTTTTCATGAGAGTTCATATTTCCAGTTTACATCCTCCTGGTATTTTACTAATCTTCAGTGGGTTATTTCTGTACTTTTTTTTTTCCTACTGTACAAACTTTGGCATTCAATTGAGTCTGCTTAGTCTCTCTCTTGTGTAAGGATGTACCTATGAAAGAAATGACACTGAGAGCCAAAAAAGGAGAAGGGATTATCTTCTTTCTTTGAAAAAAAAATCTATCTTAGAACTAGTTTAAGGTGGCTAATAAGATCAATAATGAAAACCACAAAAATGATTCAATTGCAGAGGTACACAGTATAAAACAGAGAAATAAAATACATGCTGTAGAAATAGCATTGAAAGAGAGAATTAAAGCAATGTAAATTAATATCTTAAAAGGCCAGCATAAAATAGTATCAATAACCTTCCAGCATTATCATTACAAGCTTCAGTTTTTTATGTCACAAATCAAAGACCATCCCGAAAAAGAAACAGGCTTTGCCAACCAGTAAAATTTCAAAAGAGAAGGGACAAGTTGAACTTCCTTTGGGGAATCAGTTATTCCAGATGGTGGACGAGCATCTCTTGCATGCATGCTACATGAAACAAGTTGTGTCAATTAAGTATTAGTTTCAGAAAAAGGATGGACACAACTGAATAATTTTTAGTTTAGTTTATATAGTAAAGTTTATATGTAACATAATTTGTGGTTCAGGGGACGATCAATCTAATGAACAGTATTTCATAATTTTGTAAACTGTTTAAGAATTGACTTCCGTAAAAAGCCACGTAAAAATATAACATGTTCAGAATGAGCTGTTCTCTTATGAAAAATGAGAACTTGAGGAACAATGTGTGACCCTATGTGAAAGCTTTCATATGAACATGTGAAATTACTGCTTGGCTTTTTGTGAATGAGTTTGGTTTGCTGCAACCAACGAAATAATGGAACACAGTGAATAGACAAATAAAATAAAACATAGCTAACATAAAAATATGATTGATATAAAGCAACCTGGCATTTGTCAGACGTGTAAAATTACATCCACTATCTGTACCAGCTGTTGGCTTGTGAGAGCAGTATTCCAGCAGATCTGGAAGGTGCCACATTGGGGAAGGCTGATATCAAGAATGCAATTTCCTCATAATTAGGAAAATTACAGAGATTCTTGGGATCAAGGAAAGTGATTTAAATGCAATCTAGAGTAGAGATTATCAAACTCTGGCAACCTCAACGGAAGGAAGTCCATATTTTTTAATATTTCATCTTAGGCATTGCTGTTGAGCTTGCACTTGGAGTTTTGAGCTTTATTAAGCTTAAAAAGAGTTTTCCAATTGCTTCCTTTTCTTAGTAGTGATACAAAAAATTTGCAAGCACCACCAACATTGTATTTTTTAAATTTGTCCTATAAAATGTTATTTTGCAATGTGTTTTATAATCACATACCTGTTTTCCAAAATATTTACATGTATTGATTAAAAATGGCATGGGCATCTTTATTGTTTTAAACTGTTTATATTATTAGTCTTAACACTTGTAAGCAGCACAGAGTTTTGTATAAGTGGGCAGCTGCAGAGATGGAACATTGAATATTAATAAATAAATATTAGTCATTTGCCCAGAACTACATATTAGTGAAGTTCAGTACTGTAATCCATGTTTATGTCATAAAGTTGTAATATTCTATCAGTATGTGTGTGTGTTTATTTTCAGAGAAAGGTCCCATAAATTTATTTACCAGTTTAGAGATTCACAGTATCACAGAACCCTTTTCCTAGAAGATTTATTAAAAATTGAGAATAAAACTCTTTTTTCCAGACATATAGAACATCCATTATAAATATTTCTGTTGGTATCTTGAATATACATATTTATTCTGGTGGAATGTGTATCTTTTATGTTTTTGTGGAGTACAGAAGCATCATCTGGTAGCTTTAAGTAGAGTTTTATGAATAGCAGTGTTATCATAACAGTAAACACATTCTAAGATTAAGATTAAGGTCAGTCAATTCTCCACTATTTAAGCATTGGACTTGCCTTGTAGTACCTTCATGCAACATCATAATTAATTGCAGGAGGCGGCATTCAATAGAGGAAGCTGCCAGCTTTTGCCACAGCCGTTCATGAAGGATTGAATCAAATGCCGCTTTCAGATCTATAAAAACAGCATAAAGGGCACCTCCAGGAGAGTTAGTGTACTTCGCAGAGAGGTGGTGCAAAGTGATACATTGGTCAGTGATCGAAAAATGTGATCTGAAGCCAGCCTCTTCCACTGCTAGAATTCTTTCTTGAACCGTCCAATCGTAGGGGCAACAATTACGTGTCCACAGCAATTAAACATTTTACAGCTAAAGTGCCAAGGCTCTTGCTGTATACTGTGCAAGGCTATGCCTGTAAGGATACTTGTATGTTGGAAGCTTTCAGCCTAAATTCTTCAGATCTCTACTTTGAGTCCCCTGCATTGTAGCTAAGGGAATTTTCCAGCTTTTTAGCTGAGGCTGGGTTAGTACTCTGCCAGCTGAAGTACTGGCTTAAACAAATTTGGGGGGGGGGGTGTTGCATCTAGTCTTACTAGTTTTCATAAGCAGATACCAGTCTCCCTGGAAGAAACAAATAATGGATAATCTGGCTCACCCCAGTCTGTATCTATGCTAGGCATGAACAAAGCTTGAAGAATGTTCAGGCAAAGAATTTTAGATCTTGTTTTACAAAGAGATAGAACCAACACTTCTCTTCTCCACTAGAATGAGCTCATGCACTCTTCCATCATTATTCCCAAATATCAATATCATTTATTAGTTCTGGCTTTCATACTGGCACATCCGAATGCTCTCCCCTTAATGGTACTGCTGGGTAGATTCAAGGGTACTCCTTATCAAGAGCATTTATGTATTTGCTCAGATTCTGAAATTGAAACAGTAGCGCACATATTTCTGAACTGCCCTGTCTACCACTCTTTAGAGTTAATCTCCCCTTTTATTACAAAATTTTTAGATAGTTCTCACAACACTACCTATTCAATGAACAGGATTGGGAAGTCTCAAGAATTGTAGCTAAATTTTGTACCATAGCAATGGCAGTGAAAAGTTGCTGGACTCGATCAATCTCCTAGGTGCATGCATCTCAGGCATAAATAGGCTTTTAAACAAGCATCTGTGTTATGTACTTTTTTTAAAAAATGTGTGTTTGGTCTGTGACTGTATATTTTAATAAACAAAACTAATTAAGGTTAGGAGTTTGGAATTTCATTTGGTGTAAATCAGCAAGGAAACTGTTTCAAATTTTAGTAAGTTGGAGAGAAAATTCACAGCAAAGTTCAAAAGCTTTCATTTTGTATGAGCATTTCTTTTAAAATACCTCATGATAACAATGAATATTGAAGCTCCCTTTGTTAAAGCTGATTTATCATTCTCCAGACATGTTATATTCCTACTGAATTGTATAGTTTATATCTGAAGTCACTTTGAGAAGGCTGTTGAAAATACTAAAAGTTTGACAAACCCTATAACAATAGCAACAATAATATTTTTTAAGGTATTTATCTAGTGACTCTGGGCAGTTTTCAGTAAGAACAGAATAAATATTAATTAAAATAAAATTTAATTATTTAATTAAAATATACCACCGCAACAAACTTCCCATATAATAATGCTAGCAGCAACAACAATAGCAGCAATTCTAACAGCCATTGTAGTAAAATATGATCTGAAACTCAAGTATCTATTTAAATGGTACATCTGTCATTTAGTGGAATAGTTCATGAGAAATTGAAAGAGAATCTCCAAATATGAAAGATTGCACTATGATACCTTTGGAACTTGGTAACCTGTTTCTACCTCCATCTACTTGGATTCTGCTTGTATTCCTAGTACAGTAGTGCCAATATTTAAAACATGAACATTTAAAAAGTAACGCATGGCAGGCTTTCCTTTGATTTTGGAGTAAAAAATGGCAGATGCATCCCCCACCTTTTTCTAGGTTCAGTCAACAGAATTTGCTCTTTTTATAACATCATTTTCTATGCATCTACGCTAAGACTTCATATTATGGTTGTTACTTTTAGGGGACAGGAAGGCAAGCTCAAAGTCCACGATATCATAGCAATCCAATGTGAATTGTTCTGGAAGTTACAGGGATGGCAGAGGAGCCTAAAACTTGTTTTTGGTAATAGCTATATGTTGAAAATTGTTATTTAATTTAGCCTGAGTAAAACTATTAATTAACACACTGGACTCAGCAGTACCACGTCGTCTGTCAAGGGATCGTGTGAGTTTTCAACAGCACCTAGTATAGTCGCCAGCACAGGCAATTAATTATCATTACTCTACCACTGCATACCAGTCACACCCCACTTTGGCAATATGGTTGGATGAAAGAAAGAGGAAGAGTGGGAGATAGCAGATGGATACATGATAAGTCAAAATGTAGCCTGTGTTATGACAGGAACAACCTTGGTCTGCCCCCACACTATATGAATATCATAATGATAATTCATTTCTATGTAGATAACAGAATAAGGTTGAACCTATACTTTGCAAAAAACAACATTTGTTTTACTCTGTCCTGTTGCATTTCTCTATCTCGTGCCAGTCTTAACAAAGCCAACAGTCAACTGGAAGAGAAGAGTGCATCAGGCCTTGTCAAAAAAGGAT